GTGGCCCTGCATGGTATAGCTCATGGCTTCACTGAGTTACGCAAGCCCCTTCGCCACGACAAGGCAGTGATCCATGAAGGGGATCTTACAATACATCCACTCTACTTCTTCCCCATTTTACTTTTTGTATTACTTTTGTGTCGTGATCATCCTTGCCAAATGGAAAGACAAAGTAAAAATCAAACTGATGAATAGTAAATCTAACTTTTACAATATTTTACCAAGTGTAAAATATTGTAAAAGTGCCCAAATCTACTAAATTGGTGGTTTGATGCCAAGGTTCAGTACTAAATTCTTCTTCTGAATTCCAGTGTGAAACCGTGCCACCAATTTCAGGGTGAAATCATGCAACTAAATGTTAGTGTAAACAGTCCATGGATGTCCTAATTAATTCACATCTGGGTGCAGTGATTCCATAGGGGTCCTGCAGAGAGAGAAAAAAGACCAGAAACTAGGATACTCAATAGAGTTAGCCAAGCAGCCAACAACCATGGTCTGAACTCCTCAACTCCTCAACTAAACATGAACCCTAGAATTTATGTGTCTGTCTGTCTGTCTGTCTGTCTGTCTGTCTATCAATCGAATTTGTCACCACCCATCTCATTGAAACGACTCTGGGCAGTTTACAGCAAAGATAACATTCATTATAACACAATATAAAACAATCCTAATAATTTCCAAGAAAGATGGAGAGTTGACGAATAACTCGGGGAGCATCGTCAGAATGCAGAATGCAGCCTTTTAGGTAGAAAGCAAGGTAAGTATTACTTTAATCAATGCTTTCATTCCCTGAGATTTTCAAACAAGACGTGTTTTGTTTTTTATGAATTTGCTAACTTGCTTCTAAGCTTTTTTTTTTTTTCATGGCAGGAAGCAGAGCAAATATTCTTCAGATGAGTAAACATTCGCCACTGAAAATCCCCAAAATGAACCCCCCCCCAAAAAAAGCATTAGAATATGACCTGAGCCTCTGGAGGGCAGCCAATCTCTTTCTTTCCCACTCTTGTCCAAAGAACTGGACCCCGAAGCCAACAGATTGCACAACTCTGGGTGGAGAGAGTGGGGGCCAGCTGGGACTGCATGAGATTTAACTAGGAAGAGCACAAAGCGGTTTGTTAGTTGGGTCTGAGCTGGCAAGAGAGATGGAACGACTGAATCCACGCAGCGTTCTGGTGACCGGGTCCAATCGGGGTCTTGGCTTGGAGCTGGTCAGGCAGCTGGCGAGGAAGAGCAATCCCCCACAGTGGATCTTTGCCACTTGCCGGGACCCAGCTGGACCCCGTGCCCAGGTAAGGCCTGGGGTGCCTTCAGCTCTATGTGG